GGCCCTAGTCTGGGATGGTATGGCTCCAACCTGCTACAGTAATCCTGGCATATTGGCTGGGTAGGGTCCTTTCTTTTGGGGCTGAGGTGATTTGTTACTGTAGCGTTAAGTAATTGTTTTACCACCAATTAGCTCAATTTTGTTGAGAAATGACCCGGTAAAAATGACAAAATGTCAACTTATTTTAAAATAGCCAACATATTTTAAGGCTTTGTAGCTTCTACGATGATTGATGTAAACATTTTAGTAAATCGATTTATATAAAGCACTTCACACCAAAATGGTATTTAAAGCACTCAAGGTGTGGATATGGCTCTTACTCTATGTAATTTGCTTCTCCCCTACGGGTCTCTACGTGTCTGAGCTATCAGGTAAACCGGTACCAGCGACACTTTTCAGTAGGGACTAAATTGACCAATATGCCAGGGTAACCCCCTACTTGTCTCGAAGTTAATTACACTCGACCTACGGTTTATAGTCCTTATTCGTGAAGAACTGTTTCACAACCAGAACCTAGGCGTATGTGCCATTCTAACCAATCCGATATTATAACTGTACACGGACGTTCCCCACCCTTAACCGCTCGGTTATCCAACTCACCATATAGGCCATGCCTTCTGTATGTTGTTTTCTTAAAAATTAAAAAAATATATACAAAAATGTACTATTTTTTAAATGAGTATTATACGGTATTGTAAATTATAATTAATTTTATTATACTGTATAGTATATATATTGCATTTACAAACTAAATTCATAATATTTTTTTATGGTTTACCCATAGTATATTGTTGACAAACGAACCACCGCCAGATAGCATTGGTACAGTAGGCAGGCCAAGAGACAGAGAGAGTGAAGGAGAGTATTTTTTGAGGAATATTTGTATTTAAATATAATTTTTTGTTTTTGATTTTTTTTCTTAAGAAATTTATGGAACAGTCACAACATACAAACCTTTACAAGATTCGCATCTACAGAGCTGTACTGACATTATATAAGTGAGAGGTTTAGAATACAACTCAAATACAGACAAAGCGCATAAAGACCTTCCATCAACGCTGTCTTGGAACGCTGTTGTGTTAAAAGAATATCGATGTTCTCAAGACTGGCGAATACTACTGATTTGTGTTGCATAACATCTGTGAGACTTGTTTTGAGAATTCAATATATCGAACTTACTAACTAAGACTTGATCAACCTGATATCGACAACCAGTCACCTTATATGAAAAGACTGCTGAAAGTAAGTAATACGCCAAAGTAGTAATCAGTTTTATAAAACATCCAAAATCATTTCTGAGGGTATTCATACAGTACCTTACATTTTGTTCATTCCTCATACTGTACAGTACATACACCATGGATACAGTAACTCCATGCATATAACAAATAGATTTTTTTTTTCTCTTTTGGTAAACTAATTGAGGCTTAAATGTACCTTATCTGATGTTGTGGTTCAACTATCTTGAGAAAAATCAGGCCAATGAAACAGTTAACTATTGGGTCCTACAGTACTTATTGAAATTTGAAAAACCATGTGTCTTCCTGACGTTTTAAATTATATACCAAGACATCCAGCTATAGATAAATTTGCTATATAATAATCAGTGAAAAAATAGTATTGAAAACAAATTTCTAGGGCAATATAAAATCTGGCTGTCCCAGGAAAAAACAATAGAATTTCTTGTATATTCTTGTTAACTTAGTTTGTTTTTTTTCTTGGAAAGATTGCATCCTTTATGTCATCTTAATATTACTGTAAATGTAGTCATACATCTACAAATAAAATGTGGTTTTCATGCTTTTTTTCATTTCCTATTTCATAATTTTGAAGATGATACTGTATAAAGTTAAATTTAATCATTTTTTGTAATTTAATTACTGGTAACATTTTGTCCATTGCTCACATAAAATTTTATCATGTATTATGGTCCTAGCTACGTTTAAGGATTACTTTAGAGAAACATTGGTCAAAATTTTATAATAATAGGGACCATGTAAAACAATATGATAATTTGCATTGTAACTTTACAAAAACATAACTAAATATATTTCTTCTCAACAGACAATGTATTGTATTCAAACCACTCGGGAAAAGATAATAGGGACCATGTTAAACAATGGGATAATTTATTTGTAACTTTAAAAAAACATAACTGGATCTATTTCTAAAAATATATTGTGTATATTGTATGCAAACAGTCAAATTGGAATTAAATCCAAGCTTTTTAACTCTTTGTATTTTCAATTATTCTACAATTGCTGAATACACTCACCACACACACACAAATAGCCTGGGTTCCAGGCCCTAATTTTAGGTTACTCACTATTTATTGCACTTAGTGCACACCATACTTAATTTAATTTAATTGACGTCCCATACTCGATTACTTTTTTTTTTTCGAATTCCCTCTATCTCTAAATTAACTTTCTCGTTCGTGGCGCTGTCCAGAATGAGAAAAATAACAAATAAGAGACTTGTGGCAAGTCTAACACACAAAGAACTGTCTTTCATACAATTCATGATCCTACATACATTATGTATGATATTGAGCATAGAAAAATCCAAGAAACATTTTACACTACATTTCACAATCGATTCTCACTGTAACTTTGAACCTGTCTGGTTAAATAATTATAAAAATGGATGACTATAATAAATGAATGATAAACTGAATAAATAAACTAACAAAATGTCATAATTATGCAACAATCTTTTTACTCCTGTATAATGATACATATTTATTTTTTCTTTCAGCTTTAGATGTTTTGAAACCAAGCCTTGTATTGTGAGATGAAATTTTTGTTTGACCTAAACCTAGAATTTAAAGTACAAACCTAGTATTATATACTTTCTACTTTATAGAAACCAGCCTGCTTCTGATGATGACATAAAAATAATGTCAAATTGAATCCCAACACGATGTCGTGTAGCCTATTTTAATACTTGGAATATGTACAGTATACTGTTCTGAGATTTATTAGCAGACCTTTCGGTTTTTATAAATATTGAGTGGCAATTTTTGTTTCTATAGGCCTACTGCTGTATTTATATATACGAAATATGAATACTCTTATTACTACAGTTTTTGTCGTGGGTTTTAACTTAAATTTCATCGACATTTTTAATCTATTTTGTTTTTCAAATGTTATTGTTTCGGTGTTAGTACTGTCATTTTGGATATCAAATTTATTTTGCATATATCATTACCGATTATCATTTTTGAAATTAAAAACAAAAATCTACCTCATTGATATTCACTGGATTATTCCCAGGCCCGTAGCCATGGGGGTTCGAGGGGTTCAAATGAACTCCCTTTTTTAAGAATTGCCCTTTTGAATTTAATGTGTATGTAAAATTTCTAGAGTGACATTTCTAGGCATCTCTAAGGATCGAGGTCATGGAAATTAGTACTTTGTAACAAAAATGCTGTCATTGGTGAGAAGTCCTAAAGGCAGCTGATCTAAGAAAAATTGTGAATTTCACAAACATACAGTATTTACCCTTCAACCCATTTTAGATTTAAAAAAAAATCTGAACCCCCCCCCCCACACCTTTACAAATGCTGGCTACGTCCTTGATTCCCTAATTTGTTCAAGTCATCTTTCACCGGTGATTCACGTCATTGGATGCATCCTTGTCACTGACGGGTTTCAAAAATAGCCCCCCATTGGTCGAACAAATATGAAGGACTGAAAATGTCTGTCACTCAACAATACCAATTGTTCCTATTGTGGGTACGGTAATTGATATGGTATGCGCCCCACCTAATTTTAACGTAGGCCTAATTCTTGGGCGTGGTTCTAAAGAAAATAGTATCGAAATGCACGCCATCGTGCATTCATTTGATTATATTTGGATTTAAAATATATTTTTAACATTTAAAAAATCATAATGTTGTTTTTCTATTTCATTTTTTTATGATTAGGTCTACAGTACTCATGTTTTATGTCAGTATTTTAACGTGTAAAAAATTAAACATTAATGTGTTTTTCTTAATTATTAAGATTGATTAAATTGTTAATGTTACATTACTAATAATAATAATAATAAAAATAATAATAATAATAATAATAATAATAATAATAATAATAATAATAATAATAATAAATTGGAGAATTTGTGTAGCGCCTGTTAAAAAAATAATTTTTTTGTCACTGGCGCTTAAAGATAAAAAAGTTATTCATTAAAGAGATAGGTTTTAAGGAGGGTCTTGAATGCATTAGTATCAGAAGTTGTTCTAAGATTAGGTGGAACAGAGTTCCATAATTTCAGAGCGGCTAAAGAGAAAGAGCGTTCGCCAGTACGAACATGCAGCACTCTGGGGACAGATAACCTGAGAGAATTTGACTGTCTTGTGGAACGTGAAGATAGTTGTTGCGAGATTCATGAAAAAAGATAATGTGGGGCGTAGCCATATATGCATTTATGAGTGAGAAGAATAATTTTGAAGTTTAGGCGTATCGGTAGCCAATGAAGGTCTTTGAGGATAGGTGAAACATGATCACAAAGTTTAGTGAGACAGACAACATTTGCTGCTGAGTTCTGAAGCTTTTGTAAGGGTCTTAATTGAATAGCAGAGGTCCCATACAATAAAGAGTTACAGAAATCAATTTTAGAGGTGATAAAAGCATGGACAAGTACTTCAGCAGCCAGTGGCGTAGAAAAAGATACGGAACCAAAACTTGAGGAATGATAATGTGTCTTCCAGCAGTGTTAAACACTGGGAGAAGAACAACAAATGAAAGTGTGTATCAAGTTTTGGTTCACAAGTATTTTCATTTGGGTCTGTGTATGGAATGTTGCAACAAACTGGCTGAAATTAATGTGAGTTACCTGCTAACCTTACACAAAATCAATTGTTTACCTTACACTTAGCAAGCCCTACTAATTGCTTACACTGCTTTGTTAGCTGTCTCTTATACACCTCTAGATGTGTATAAGAGACAGCCCCCGGGATCTACGCCTATGTCAGCAGTGGAGCGTGAAATGTATGGACGAATAGATCGAATTCGTCTAAGGTGAAAATATCCAGATTTACAGATAGATGAAATGTGGTTTTGAAAGGTAAACTGATTGTCAAACAGTACACCCAAATTTCGTGCTGTAGTTGACGACGGTTACGATTGTCAGATTTTATTCCATTAGGTAAGTGGCGGGTTTTCTCTGTTGAATAAGAGTGCAGTGTGAAGAAATGAATACAACGATCTCACGACGATGATCAGAATTTTACTAAAATGTGTACTTCATTTCAATCATATTGAAGATGCAAAAACTGAGTAATATTTACATTTAATTTTAATTATTTTATTCTATATATAGGCCTAACATGTTATATATTATAAATATTAAACTTGTGACTGAGTTGACTTGTGGCCGAGTTAACTTGTGGCCGAGTTGCCGTGTGGCCGAGTTGACTGTAGCCAAACTTTTTGTGGCCGAGTTGATTTGTGGCCGAGTTGACTTGTGGCCGTGTTGACTGTGGCCGAGTTGACTTGTGGCCGAGTTGACCTGCTTCCCATATAAAATCTCATTTACTTTAAAATGACAGTTAAATAAACTCAATCAGGTGTCTGGAAACAAAGTTATGACCGTTTGAAAAATTGTCATCTTATCAATCTTATCATCTTATTTTATTTTCGGCAGGTTTCTATTCATATTTCACTAGCTCCCATCCAAAAATGGCAAAATTTTACCTCTCAAACTTCAGGAATAGCAAGATTAAAAGTTATACTTTATTACACAAAAACTTAATTCACACAAAATACACGTTCTACGTACGCCCTATTGGCTATTGAGGCTTGTTTCTCATCAATACAGTGCGGTGCGAGTTACAGCCCTTTTGTGAGCTTGGGTCACAATTTAAAGTACTATGCCATGCAAATCCCATGTTTTTTTACGATCTAGGTCTAGCCTAGTCAACAGATTTTGAAATTCGGGAGACCGTGAGATAC